AAAATTTACTGACACAAATTGAAGGGCGGTGTAATTTGTCAGGGGCACAGGAATTCCTCAGGGCCATCCACATTTACTCAACTTAAGCATGTAGAATAATTGTCAGGCACCTAGCTTCACTGAACTAAAACAGTTGAAAAGTATAAACATTTATTCAATATTGAAGCATATGTTAAGGAGATTGTGCATATTGATTTAGCAAATGTGGATTGAAATACTTGATAAATATTGGTGAACCGCGAAAAAGTCTGGTACACTGAGTAACCTTAAGGAGGTTGCAATCAATATTTATCTTTGGTCACAAACCAACTATTGACTGGAAGCCAAGATTAATATTTACTTGTCAGTTCTACAAACTGAATTTGAAGAGCCCAGAAGCAGTACAAGATGGCACCACATGTATGCATTACAATATGTAAATATAATCAATACCCAGGGTTAGACCTGTACTATATGATATTTCAAACCATCCAAATACTTGTTTATTTGTGATAACAGAACAAGCATGGCTGACATGTGTCAACAATCTGCTGCATCCTGAAACTAACATTTTCCCAGTAAGAAAGCTGTTATATTTTACACATCTTAAATAAAGTTCATTATGCTGGTGGGTTTTGTTCATGGCAGCCAAAGAAAACATTTAAATCACGTTTTGGGTGTGATGCAAGTAAAATGTGCTCAAACTTCGGTCTGAGATTAAAAGGTCAATGATCTTTTTACTGGAGTATGACTAACCAACAGCACTCATTCATCATGTCATTCAGTGACATATTTGTAATAGCAACCTAGTACAATATAGAGCCACTTCATTTTTATTTTCACTAAAACAGCATTTTGATTATTTATATATTTGACCAATATTTTACAGCCCTAATCCCAATTCTGAAAAGATTTCTTTAAACGGTAATACACATGTATATGTATATCAATGATTTATAATACACATCAAGGGTTTCCCATTTGTAAATCGGGGGACTAAGGATTTTGTGAAGAAAAAATTATTTTAACTGAGTTTAAAAGAACAAATTTTCGTGATAAATATAAAATAATTGGAAATACATTCTAATAAGGATAAGATAACAATAAAATTATAATTATTTTATTTGTGTTGTTATTAATATTACTACATAAGTTGTCATCAGGTATATGTGATTTCCTTGTAATTAATCATACTCAATGGGGTGGGATGATTCAAGAATTAGCATAAGGTTGTTCACAAATAATTGGAAGCCAAAGTAACTCTACCCCTCAGTGAGTAAATAACAAAACTCAAATGGCGACATAAACACTCCTGGAAACATGTTCACTTGAGAGTACCATTAGTGCAATGTATCAGCTTTAAAATCAGAAATTGTTCACAGTTCACAAACTACCCTCAATTAATTAAATGTTATATTATTCAACATTCATTCAAACTGCTATCCATCCTGATTTTTTTTTATTTTCTTCCATTTCTCTTCAAAATATTAATAAACACTTTATAAATTTAAAATGACAATTAAAAAGAACTTGACCAATCACATTAAGTTTACAAATGCATGGTAGTAAATCAACCAATGATTGATGATTCACTCGTAATGGATTTTACCAAATGGCTTCTACAGCCAATGAAAGCATACTCTGCATTTGAATCAAGCATGAGTGTCTTACAGGGAAGATTCTAATTTTTCATATTTTATCATTTTTTATAAAAAAATAACATTTATGCTTGTATGAAATTCACTATAACATCAACAGAGAGGAGAAGAAAATAATATGTATCTAGAGTTGTTGAAAAACTTTCAATCAATAAATTTGGATATGATATCAAACAGACTGAAGATGACATTGTCGCCACCAGTGCTTATTTCTGCTTTGAAAGTCTGCAAAATGACGCTGTAAGCTAACTTAGGTGGCAGTGGTTTTATGACAGTGAAATATGATAGGTTGGATATCCAGATAAATAACAGCACATTTTACATTGTAATATATATAGCATATATTAATTAACATAGGATGAAAACAATAATATGTGAAAGAAATAAAATACTTGTGTTGTTGTTCCTAGCAAGTGCCAGTATCACCATTATTATACATAACCATTTACCTATGCTATGGTGTCTATTTTATGTCCCCAAATGACTGAAAAAGAAAATTAAGGCAGGAAAAGATTTCCCATGAGATATGAATGGATTAGGTGTGCATGTCTTTTGGTTGAATTTAACTACACCTACATGAATACTAACATGGCAACTACTAATGGGACTGTTCATCTAATAATATCACTCATCGTCATGGCACATTCCTCCATATTGAATTTAGATATCGCAATTACCAAAGATATATATGACACTATACTATAATAAGTTTATTTGTTAGCACAAATAATGTGATATGTTTACGTTCCACACTAACTGCATGTACATGTAATAAACTCCTAACATGTATGAAAACTGACTGTTTGCATTTAAGATCATTTTTATTTTCCTGCTATATATTGTTCATGATCTCACTAATAACTGCCATGCTGGCGCCAGTCCTAAGGGAAATTACATGAAAGTCTCTAGCAGATGCACATTGATCCCCAAAATTGGTGTGTGAGCTAACCTTTTTTTCAGAAATATAGTTATCAAAGGGAGTAAATTTCTTGATTTTCAGACTCAAGGATTTTTCACAATAACAGCACCATTATTATGATTACTGACACTAGCCAAAACCCTCCAGCGATGAGGTTTGATTTCTTTTCCTGGCTGTAACCATGCTATGCACTGATGTAGTTTATAATGAGCTAACAACAGTTTTAGCACTGCCAATCAAACACCATAGCATGCACAGCATATCAGATTGCATGTTATCATGGGAGTCAATGAAAGAGAGCTCCATTTCACAGTTGTATTAAGCTTCACTCAATACTGCAAGAAAAATTACCATTTACTGCCACTAGTCTACCAACATAACATACCTCAATAGGGTTCTCTTGCATAAATATCATTCATAAATTTTATTCAAAGACAGCAATTGTTTATTCAAGGATGGAGCCACAAAGTATTATGTAAACAAATCAGTATTGCAAATTAATATTTTATTTTGTAATGATTAATTAAGTTTCATGAAATTAACAACAATGACGGTTATGAAATGAAAACAGTCAGCTGTTATAACCCTTTCACGGGCAACTCGTTTACCCAATTCATATTCATGAATTGTGGAAACCTGGCAACATGAAATCCTTGCATAATTTTTCAAGGTAATACATCACTCAAGGGTGAGACATGTTGACATTTTTATTTGCAGCACAGAACAAGATAAAAAAAAGTCAGAACAGTATGAAAAGGAGTAACTGCAGGCTTTCTACTCCAGAAGAAACTATTGACTCGCTGTATGCCAGATTAAAACTGTTATCAATAAAATAAATGCAGCCATCATTTCCATATCTTCTTAAATTACTTTATGATAGACAACTTTAAATTACATTGAGTAAGGAAGTCTGCGTTTGCTGATAACAATGTGATATTAAAAAGATACTTATATTTAGTATATCATTTTAAAGTACATTCCCCCCTCCCAATAATATCTAAAAATAAATGATAATGGAGTGGGATGTAGAGTAATATTGATTAATCAGCTGTATAAATAGTAAGTACTATTCATATAAAAGTATATTGCTCAATTCTCTCTCTATTCTTAATTCATTTGACAAACTACATATACTTTCATTTAACTACAGATTACATAATTTTAGCTGAAGTTTACCTTTGCTGAAAACCACTATTGATATTAATGACTAGCAATGCAGTGTACATGTATATGCCATTAAATTCTATTTTATTTTTTGAAAAACTTAATACTCAACAATAAATTTCAGCACACATAGCTAAAGCTAACAATCCATGACTTTCACGCCTTTGACCTGACCTTATGTGACCTTGCCACACATAGCTGTATACAAGACACAGTAAAACTGACTGCCTCGATCCAACCATACATGTACATAGCTGAGAGTGATCAAGACACTGTTTTACTCATTATCTTGACCAGACCACACATTTTCTCTTATTACATATGATTTAATACAGACCACTAGAAACAGTATTATTGAACAAAACAAGCCACAAGTCAGAAAACATAGTCAGAGATACTACTACAGCTCATATTTGATTCAAACTACCTTTTCACAAATGCAATTTGTTCCAGTCTGAGAATTATTCCTCCCTTATGTTGTGTGCCAAATAATGGACAAAAATAGGAACATTTATAATCATATTCAGGCTGACATTTACAAACTTTTCATGGTTGAGAAAACATGTACCTATAGTAATTTAATAATTGTCAGAGATTAAACCATATTCTAGTCACTGAAATACACACACACACTAAGTGTTTGCAACATTATCAAGGGTTCTAATTTATCACCTATTCCCTGATACAAGTAGCTACATCCGACTAGGTTAATTATTATCTAACTTTTTATCTATTTTACAGGTAATATTTTATAATCTGTCTGTCCTTGCTATTTTATATGAGTAAACACACATTGAAATCGAGGCATCACATTATATGTTGATTCACTGGCATTACCGATATGTGTAAGAAAATGATATTTAAAATATTCGTTGAATAGCACTTACATACACACAAATAATTCACTGCACAACAATATGGTACTCCTCATACAACAATAAAACTGGTGGTCAATAGTTTCTGACAATACAATAGCCTCTTAGACTGCCATTGTCATGCTTCTCAAATTAGTTTTTTTTTTCTATAAATTTTAAATACCACAAAATCATAAATTATTGACAATGAAAAATTTAAATACTGATATTTTGATTCTCGCTCTAGAGTTTAAAATGAAGTGAAGCTATAATTATCAAATATATGTGATAATATTGTATTCCATAATTTATAAGAAAAGAAAATATCTTAATAATTTGTAACTGATAGAAAATGCAGTTTTAAATGACCTCTATAAACTCTGGTGAACAGTTTAGACAGGTATTTTACTGCTGCTGAATACTTACTGGAATTCCAGACCAATATGGTGTGTCTCGGACTTTAAGTGAAGGTGAAATATTTAGCATAACAAATCCAAAGACAGTGACAGTAGCACCTAACAGAACCTGTAACATAACTAAGCATACTGGTAGTGTACAACACTGCAGATGATACTTCTTATGTTTCTCCTTGAGAGGCCTAACCGGAGTGTGAGTATCCGAATGTAAGTCCTCTTGTACAATATTTTGCGGTACTGTTGTATTAAGACTGGCTGCCTGGGATCTTGTTGGGGTGTGATAGGATGCAGTACTTGTGTTACTCCTAGGTGTATGATGAAGTGAGGTAATACTCCTACTGTCTTTACTACCCAGTACAGGGTTAGTATCGACAGACTCTTCTATTTCAGTCATTCTTCTTCAGATTCTCTCAATAAAATTACACAATTTATTAGTCCACAGGAAATGTCGATATCACGTGAATCTGTTGGAAGAAAAAAATGTACCAAATTTATGCTCAAATCATTACCCAGAATGCACTTGGAAATGTATAACCATGGATGTTTAAATTCTTCAAGGTCACATTTAGACAATAACAAATACCCTCTTGAGAAATATGATCATATTTCTCTCATGAAATAATTACAAAATACTGTAGTAAAACATACAAACATGTGGTTAACACTTGTTTTAAGTAAAGCTGTCAACTTTAAGTACAAGAATATTGTACATACCACACAGCACAAAGGTTAACTGCCTTCAAGGAATCTCTTGCTGGGAGTTGAAGTTATTTTTTCCTATCTCTGGGACAACACTGAATTACACTAGTTAAAAAACACCATCTCTTCAGTTCAAAGTAGGCACATTATTACCCCTTACTGAACCACTATTGATAACTAGATTCTGGAATGTCCAGAACAAGGACAGGTAAACAGATACTATTTCAGTGATATACGTTGAATATAATATTATCACAGATCATTCACCACTCCATACTCATGGTAGTATTTATAATTCTATAATATCAAAACTAGCAAGTCAATAATGCAGAAGACGGCTAAGTACCATAAGTTACTTTCAGTGAAACGAATACCATGAAAATACCTTTTTTCCAATATTTTACATTCAAAAATCAAAATGTCATTTCAGTAAAAATTAATTCCAACTAAAATAATATTTTACAGTAAACATAATATATACTGTAAATATGCTAATGACCATCATGTAAAACACATACCATGCATGCATACATGGTGTTTAAGTGTTGTACATGTGATGAGGTCCTAGATGTGAAAACACAGCTAAAATATTTGACAAGAAGCTTCACAGCAGTATTCCGATTCAAATGCTAATATTAGAGTACAATAGCAGAGAGCAACAAGTCACTGTCAATGACTCGTCCCCGTTCCGTTCATATTTGAGTGACATATACATTCAAAGCAGATCATGACCGAAAAGCACCTGCATATGTACAACACATTGTTCTAAATCTGAACAAAATCCATCCATGCATGACTGAGATCAGGTTCCGGAATTGTGAAAATACGTGATTTTGATGCATTTT